AATTCAGATGATGCTTCAAGTGGTAGGATCTGCTGGAATTTTGTGGAAACACTTGGTAATAAAGATGCTGCAGAGGAGCAAACCCAGAAGTCCAGACTACAATGTGCAAGGTGTTCAGAATCGCTGATTGCCTCCCTACTTTGAAAACCTGTGGAAACAGATCTAAAGGTTCTGTTGCTTTTCAGAGTAATCTTCAGTGTTTGCTAAGATATGCTACAAAATATATGTTGTCTGCAACTGGTTGACTCCTCAGCCTGGTTGACTCCTCAGCCTGGTTGACTCCTCAGCCTGGTTGACTCCTCAGCCTGGTTGCAAGTATTTATCAACACTTGCAGCATAGAAATGATTCACAACTACTTAATCTATTACTTAATCGCTGGTTCTTCCTCAGTTTACTATATGCACTTTGATCACTGTATATGGAAATTTTAAGTATAGTTGTATGGAGGATATGGGATGAGACAGTGGTGAAAAAGGTAGTTCCTGAAGTGCAGATTTTGGATTATCAAGCATGATGTGCCAATCAAGATGAAGGACAAGCAAAGAATAGCTTGTGAACCTTGGGGTCTCCTGCAAAAGGGAAGACTGCTTGGAATTTCTTATGGGTTGTCTTAAGTGAATTAGAGAACTTATGACTAGAACATGAGAAGGAACTCTATAGTAGTTTAATTTGGATGAAATCCATAAGAGCTTGTGGATAATGGCCAAAGATTACTCTTTTGAGGCATAAGACTAAATGATTGATTTCTGAAGGCCTTCTAAGGAACAGAAGACCCTAAGTCAGTGACACTGAAGATTTGTTCAGAAAAATTGCAGTGCTTCTATATTAAATAGATAGGGGCTCAAGAAATCACAATTCCCTGTTAGATTATGCTTTAAACAGTGAAGTTTCCTTTTGGCGCTCTCTCTTTTTTTTTTTTTTTTTTTTTTTTTTTTTTTTTAATATAACACTGAAGTCTTAAAGAATGAGGAGTTAATACTTTTGGAATGGTTCTCAGTATTCTTAGGTGTTTTATATTACAGCAACCAGAACAGCATGCATGATAAATCTTAGCTAGTTATTTGTATTCTGTGGAGTATTGAGTTAAATGAATTTTAATTTGGAAAAAGAGGGAATACATAAGTGGTCTTCAGTGTGTGGGTGTGAACATGTGCAAGTGTAATATGAAATTATGATATGAAAGTGTCTCTTGACAACATTGTCTCCTGAGTTAGTGGGATACATCTGTCTAGCTTCAACAACTTGTCAGATTGTATTGCCAAAACTTCATTCAATATGTACGACCTCCTTGAAAGGTACTCTTGCTATATGCAAAAGAGCTGGGATGCATAATATGTAGGAAGACGCCATTAAATCTGTCCTACAAACTGTCAAAACAATCAAGCCCTTGACGTTAATGCAGTAAAGTGTATTTTACTTTAAGGCTTGGTCCTCCATTAATAACAAATCTTTAGTGTTCTAAAATCTGTTTTAAAATTCCCATTTTGAATCAGAACTGAAAGTTTCTGCTTTGAAAAGTGCATACAAACAAGCACTGTGTTTCTTAGTTTGCTGCAGTACCTTCATTGCTTTTTTGGAAGTGTCCATTTGTAATAGAAGTTCTGCTTCATCTGTATAGTTTGATACATGAATAAATTCTAAAGAAACGTGTTAGTTGTGATGTTTTAACTTTTTTCACATTTGGGGAAAAAGGTTGTCAAAATTCTTGACAAACCTTCTGTGGTTGCTAAACTTAAGTCTAAAAATTGTTCAAATGTAAGGTAATCTAAGTTCTTCTGAGCACTTGAGCTAGGAAGAATAAGTTGTCTGAATGTTTCAAAATCACGTTCTTTATACAGACTGTATCAAGGAGTCTTATGACACCGAAACCATTTTTCTGCTTGTGCTTCCTCAACTACAAAATATCTTTTATCCCGAAGTGTGGTGGTAGGACAGAGGTAGAGTTAAACTGCCAGGACTGTTTCAATGACTAGCTTGTTGAAATGTCTGCTAGACGAGCGTCTCGGATGGTGTTCCTAAGCCTAGGGTCGTGTTGTGCATTTGTCACAACCAACCGCTACAAACAAGTGTAAGTTAATGGTCGTACAGAAAAATGAGATGATGCCTTCTCTTTTTGCATTTCCAGGCAAAAAGATTGTGATTTTAAAAAGCCATTATCTCGTATACAATTTATAGCTAATAATGAGACTGTAGGATATACGTTTCTTTTTTATGAAGATGGGCATAGGAACATCCTGTTATTTTGCCATCTGGCTGCTTATGTGGGCATGGGCTGTACATCCCAAAAGTTGAAAGGGTTTAAAGGTGGAGGTTTGTAAGGAGTAAAAGGGACAGTATGAGAAGAGGTGTATGGACCCAAGTTTTAAGGGCAGCTTATTTATTTAATTTTATTATTATTGTGGGGAAAGTTGAGCCATGCCTCTCCAGTTCTTACAGCATGGAAGCATGGAAACCAAAAATGAAGATACAGGTTATTTCCCAAATAGCCAGGCTAAGGAAGTAAGCAACTTCTGAAAGACTTTGTGCCTATGGTAAATCTTGGCCCTTGACCTATTTGCCTGTCATAGTTCACATTTTATCCGTTTCTGCTGAGTAGATGTGACGTACCTAATTTCTTAGATACTGTTTAAAATAGACTTGAATTTATGATTAGCTGGATTAATTTAGGATTTAACTGCATAGTAGCAGAGTAATAATCACTATTGCACTTTGAGAATTTTATTTGTGTTGATGTGCAAAGACTTGTACAGCAGACAAATACAGCGCACTGCTCTGTCTCTTGAAAATTGGCCTGAAGTTAGGTTGCCTTAAACTGTAGCTTGATACTCAACTCCTTCTCCAAGTTGCATGGTTGTGCTAGGCGAGTGCTGGAAAGTGAAGAATCCAGCTTCTCTTGGCAAGTGCTTCCTCAGGTGCCAGAGCTGGACTGGCTGGAAGACACTTCACTTGTGAAAGAGAGTCTAAATGGAAAAATAATGCAGGTTGTAAATGTCATCCTCGGTTATCTCCCTGGGTTATTTTCAAGGCGGGGTAGGGAGGGTAGGGCGGGGGTGCTTTTTGTTCTGTTGGGGGGGTTTGTTGGTTCTTCCTTGCAATGATCAGAGTTCTGTATTGTGACCTTTTTGTAGTAGATAGTATAAAAAGTGAGAATAGAAAAGTATGATTCCTACCTGAAAACTCTTAATTTGAAGCACCTTGTGAGCCAACAGATGGATACACACTGGTTAGAAAGGTAAGGAAGCCAGCCAGCTGTCATGACAGGGAAGAACTCTATAGTATGCTACAGCAAACAAGGGTTACCTATTCTATCTTCTCTGCCATATGGCAAAATCCACTGTGTTGTGTTATGTCTGATGGATTTTTGGCTTAAATTCCCTTAAAATTTCCTGAGGTTGGGGGCTCTAATGATTCTTCTGGTACTCTGCATGGTGTTATCTTTACCCCGGAGTCTTTTTTTTCCTGGTATCTTAACCACGTCTGTTCTGCTGTGATTTTGGTATATTATTACTTTGAACCTTCCTTACCATTAACAGATTGTTGTCTGTATTCAGAGGCTACTCTGTTACATTGATCAGGTAAGTGTGTAAATGAAGAAGGCTTGCAATCAGAGTTAGTGGAGAGGGGTTAATGACTAACTCCAGCTGTGTGACATGCTATGGTATGAAGATGGCATTTAACAGATTGTGGCTTTCTTCAACCCTGATTAATAGAGGGGAGGAACTTCACGTGTTAAGCAGAAGGGACATGGAAGATGCCTATAAAGTTAATTCAGAGAAGATCTAGAATTGAATTGGAGGAGAGACAACAGTAATTTATGAAAGGTTGATCTGAATCTGATGGGGGGAGACAGCTTTTGTAGAGGAAGGTGTCGTTCAGGCATACTGGTTTTTATGTTGGCATTGTTTTGTATAGATCCACAGCAGCCTTGTGCTAGCACAGGAGAATTAAAGTGGTCAGGGCTCAACTGTATGGTCATTAATCAAGATAGTGTCAGTGTCTACCTAAGCATCTGTTGACAGAGGTGTGATGGAGTTGACCACGTTCTGCTCCACTGGCAGAAGAGAGAGTCAACGCTAATCTCTGTCAGTATCCCTAAAGACCACCTTCTCTGTTTTGTGCCAAGAGATGTTAGTGTTGTCAGGGTTGGTACCGCAGTTCCTGGTGCTTTGTGCAGCTTTGGGAACTTCCAGCAGTGCAGCTCATGGCAGGTGAGTAGTGCTGTGTGCTGATGTTGACT